AAGACCTCTGATTTAAACTGTTATGCACATATATCAGTTTGGCCAAAGGGAGAGTGTTGGCCACTGACTGCCCCCTTTTGCTACTCCCCTGTGCTACTTGTGATAACAGCAGAAAAAAGGAGTAGGTTGGGGCTTTTTGGAAAGAAATTCCTCCAAATACCCTTCAAATATATAGCCAGATAGGAGCCTACTAGCAATCTTGGCATAACACACCATAACCAAAAGACATAACAAGATTTGATTTCAGTTTTTAATATCCTTTTGATTAATATTTGGAGGGGGGTCAAGTGAGCGAATGGCTTGCTGTCAAAGTTAAAATGATCTTTAGTAAAAATAAATAAGAACACAGGGTTACTTTTTAAAAAATCTTATTCCATAAAAGAAAAAAGAAAAAAAACCATATAAGGTTTTTTGGGGGATTCAAATATCTCCACCAATCCCTGCATGCTGCTGCTTTAGTCACTGTTTATTAGGTCCTCGTTGTTAGGCCCGATTTATTTGGTATCTGGTTTTGTGAAAGTGACACCTGTATTTTTTGCAATCTTTAAGCAGAAAGCTTTGAAACATTTATTGTGGGTGAACGGATTGCGAACTTTAATTGTGTCTTAAGGTTCTGACAGAATTTGTATGCTGAAATATGTATCCACTGTAACACAACGCCAAAGTACTGTAACATACAGATTATGATTTAAGTTTCAATGGGTGTTAAAGAGAACTTTGCAGATTGTTAAGGCCTTTACATGCCTGGTGCCCCAATTTTAACAAAAACTCACACAGAATATGTAGTTATATGGTAAATGCATCGTCCATTAAGCCACTGTGAATACCCACTTGTGCAGGCTGGGTTGACGTGGGATGTAGAAGAACAAGGAAAAGTTTATGTTTATCAATTTGTGTAGTTAAATTGTGGAACAAACTAAATGAGAACCTAAAGCAATGCCCAAACATATTCCTCTTCAAAAAAATGTTCAAAGAAATTATTTTCAAAAGGTATAGAGAAGCATTATAGAAGGTTTTGTTTGTGTTTTTTTGTTTTGTTTATTTGTATGAAGGTATATGTGTATACATATCTATGTATGTATATGTGTAGGTAGGTATGTATTTATATGGATATATATAGCAACAAAATTATAAATATTGTAAATTGAAGAAATACAAGAATTAAAGGGGTAGGAGCACATAAGTTTTACTTCTTCCTACTCCTTTTCGCACATGTAATAGAGGTATATTAACTCAGGAAAGAAGGTTACCTTGTTTGTTGTTTTTCTCTCCAATGTTTTTAAACATTGTTTTATTGTTTTTTTGTTTTTCTCTTGCATGTTTGAAAACAAAGAATCCAATCCAATCCAAAGTTGGGCTAGAGTCTCTACAGTAGTCATTGGGGAAGGACAGAAGAGCCTCTCAACAGTCAAAAATAAATCAGGACTACACAGAGACAAACGAGTAACACCTATACATTAATGCACTCACATTTCAGGACAAAATTAGAGCAACCAGTAAAGTAAATCTGTTTATGGATAAGAGCCCAAACCTATGATGGTGTTAACCTTGGCACCAGAAACTGACAATAATGAGTTCTTTATAAAAAAATATATATAAATGCTACTACTGAATGGCAATGACATTACCATTCAATGGCCATGCAGTGTTATCTATTTTCAACAAATCTGTCATGTTTGCAATTTAGCAGAAACCGATTAACAAACGCTTGTAAGAAAAAAAGCTAATTAAAAATACATACCCACATTACTGAGCATGAACCATCGAAAGGGGAAATTTTATGTTTGATAAACAACTAAATTAGGGCTGCAACAACGAATCGATAAAATCAATAAAAATCGACTTTTAAAAGCGTTGGCAACGAATTTCATCATCGATCAGTTGTGTCGCGCGATTAATGCGTCATCCGCCGCGCCGTCATCACTGCCTCTTGACTGAAAGAGGAAGAAAAAAAAAATACGGCAGAGCGAGCCAGCGCCGCAGGTGCAGTGTTGCCAACTCAGCGACTTTTCAGACCCCTCCAGCAACTATTTTTCAAAAAAGTGACTAGCGACAAATCTGGCGACTTTTTACGGTGTCACTGGCGGATTTTGGAGACTCTTACGTGAAAGCATGTATCGTTCCTACTCTGCCGTGGGACGCCGCCCCCACTCCCGCAGGAGTCCCTCTCAGCGCTGCAGTCAGCCTCAGCTTCCAGACTGCAAATGAAGCGCGCATGCACCGGGATTGACGGCGCAAATTGATCACAATAATTAAAATAGCCTGCGCTTTGTAAAGTGAAAAAAGTGATAACATGCAACTTTTGTCAAAAGAAATTAACATGGCACGGAAGCACCATGTTTGTTTGGTTTTAAAGTGGGGAAACGTAAAGTTAGTTTCTCAGGTAGCTCATCTGATGCTTTCCTTACCTTGTTAGTAGGTTACAGACAGGGATAAGGTTGGCTACTTATTTTACTTTTAATTTCATTTGAATTAGCTTAAGCAGCGTTTACATTTACTTTATAAATAAATTAACTTGCAAATTATGAGGGCAAGGCTTTTAAAGTTTAAATCTTCTGGCAAAGATAAAGTAAAGAAGATCCTGCAATTTATGGAAGTAAAGCAGAATAAAATCCAGCAAGATCAGTAATATGTCAATTAATTATATGCCACATTCCCATGTAAATTGGAGTCTTTGGAGGATGTGTTTATTAGCACCCCTAGTTCTCTCATTTTTATTCCAAATACAATTTATAATTTGAATCACAGGGCTATTTTTATCTCTATGGTTCAGTATTTTCTCAAGCAGCAACTTTAACTGCTATACTTTCCTGTCTTAAAAGGCAGAACTCTTCTAGTCTAAAAAAACTCATTTGTTGAAATGGGGGGACCTATTGTTTGAACCCCATAGGGGCTTTTAAAAACAAAAATGTCTTTTTTTGCGCTTTATGAAACAAAGTAGCCTATATTTTGTGGATGTACAGCTACATTTCTCATGTAAGTTTGCGTAGTTTTAACACAAACATTTATTTTTCATATTGCACCAGTACAGTTAATGAGCAACCTGTACTTGTGTGCTTGTTTGTTCTGTCTAAAATGTTTATTTTGGAATAAAGAGGTTAATATAAAAAATATTTTTTGTCCGATTCATCGATTAATCGAAAAAATAATCGTCCGATTCATCGATTTTTTAAATAATCGTTAGTTGCAGCCCTAAACTAAATAATCTCAAATTTGTAAAAAAAAAAAAAAAAATGCTCTGCTAAATTTTGGAGCCTTACCACCTAAATCATGTTTTGAAAGATTATCTAAATAAAGAGGTGATTTGGCAAAAAAGTCAGAAAAGTCATGATGTCTTAATAACAAACACACCATCTTAACTACCTACTTGAACTAAACAGTAAGTATACATTTTAATCAACTAGCGCATAACTCCAGGAAACCTTGATTCAGTGATTTTAGTGGCCCTTATGTGATGAAAATCAGAATTTATTAAATGACATTTAAATGTTAATTCCAGAAGAATTTCTGACGTTCACCTAAATTGACAAAATGTATTATTAATATTAATCAGTGGTGTCAAAAGTTCACACATTTGTTACTTAAGTAGAAGTATAGATACTGCAGTTTAAAAACACTCTGGTAAAAGTTGAAGTATCAACTTGACCTCTTTACTCAAGTAAAAGTAAAAAGGTATGTGCTCCAAAATCTACTTAAAGTATAAAAGTATTAAGTAACCTTTAAAGAAAACAGCCAGATGCCACTATATCAATTGAAAGCTCAATTTTACAACTATTTCTAAAAATCCTTTGAGATAGGGCCAAGGATGAGGGAGGTGTTGTTGGTCTCCATCTCCCGATACGCTCTCGCCTGTGTCCGACCTTTCAGACATTTCAACATCTTTTTCTGAATCTGACATTGTAGCATGGCGTAGACAATTCACGTTAGCAGTTTGAAGAACACCTGCTTGCTTTTGATGATTTCCTTTAGCTAACCAATGAGTGTTTGCGTTCTATGACTCATCCAATGACACTAGTTTTCACTAGATGTGGATGGAGCAAATGATCTGCATTGGATGGTGCACATGATGTGAAATAAATATTTATAAACATTAAACCGAAGCCAAGAGTAACGAGTGACTTTTGCTTTAAAAATGTAAGGAATAGAAAGTACAGATACTTGTGTGAAAATGTAATGAGTAGAAGTCAGAAGTAGAATTTGTACTTCTAATTATTTTCTACTTTGTTACTTGACACCTCTGATATTAATATTATGTCAGCAAAATCAAAGTGGGAGCAAGTTGGATTCATTTTAGATTTCTCATTTCTAAATGTTTATTTAGAGGTTCATTTCAAATAACTACCTATACATCGACATAATAGGATGGTATAACTAAGGTCTACATGTAATTCAAAGTTTACACAAGTTGTTATAACCATATAGCCTGAAGCTTAAATCAGGTCTTCCACATGGTGGGCCTTGGAGCTCATATATCCTTGGACCGCCACTGGCAAAATTATTTAATGAAGCCAAATGCCCGAAATGTGCAAAATTCTAGAAGTTCTGCAAATAATGGCAGTTCTGGATGTGTCTTTGCATTAAATGAGCTATTGCAAAACAGGCAAACACGTCAAAAAAAAACGCAGTCTAGGCGATGGAATGTGGAAATACAACTCAGTCTACCGCTATTAATGAAGTTATGCAGGGAAGGGAGCAGAGACACTGGCTCAAATGATGTTGTGCAACAGAAAAGAGCAAAAAGCCTACTGAAACGAGACAACTAAAGCTTCTCACTGCATTGCAATAAGCGTGCGCGCGCTTCTCCTTAAAGACAAGATGCACGTTCACATTCGACCTGCTTTCAAAGTGACTGATATCATTTTAATGTGAGGTCAGATGGCAGACAGCCTTCACATCTTGCGCTTTGTTTCACGACTTTTCCAGCTTGCGCAGGTGAGGAAATAGTGTGAAAGAGACAGAAAAAAAACAACAACAACCACAACAAAAATAAATCAACTCACCCGAGTCGGAGGTATATGATGCCAAAACACAGGGAAACGTAGAGACTCCGCTTTCGGAGGGGTTTGTGCATGATCGGTATCACTTTATCCAGAGGCCATGCACTGTTAACACAAAGTGGTACTCACATCAGCAGCTTTTCTAACCCCCCCAGATGCAGGTATAACGCCTGTTTTCCGTCACATCAAGCTGAACCTCTTTGGAGATTTTGAACTGCGTGAAACCCATCGTCCAGGACAGGTGAGATGCTGAGAGGAGTCCGAAACGAAAGCTGGAATATGATCGCACTTGAAAGGTGAATGAGTTCTTGGAGGAAGTGGCTCCTATCCGTCCTCCCGTTGAACGCTAAATTTTAATTAACAACCCGACCACCCCACCTGTTATGCGCCTTCAGTAGTAAAACAAAACAAAACTGCTGCTTTCTGCTGAATGCAAACCGGAATATGTGAATCTGACTTGAAGCTTTCATGCACGGTACAGGTACAGGTAACAAAAGGGCTATGTGCCTCCTCCTCCTCCTCCCCTACCTGCACAGATATGCTGTGAATGGGAAGGGCTTCCAGACTGAGCTCAAAACGTGTAGTTGTTGTACAGAAAACTAACAAGGCACGAAGGGAATTGGCCTTTTATAGGCCAAAGCAGGCGCTTGCAACATCACTGCTTTGCCCCACCAGTGCAGCACCCACAACCCCCCCCCCGTCGGGACACACCACAACAGTAAGCTCAGTAAAATCAAATGTCTTTCCAGCTGTTTGCCTTGCAAGGAGACACAACACTGTATGACTAATAATGGGTAATCATGATGAACTGACTTTCTGATAAATACGCTGTAGCGGTGCCCTGTCAGTCACACTGGAGTAAAATTGAATAACAAATAAATTGGAAGTTATTTAAATGTAAAAAAGAAAAGAAAAGTGTGTAGATGTTCTTTTGGGAATCATCATGAAACTTAGTGGACTCCCTCTGGTGGCAGTAAGACATTGATCTAATATCTCAACTCTACAGTACAATAGATCTACTTACTGTCTTGTGCACAACCCCTCTTGATGTGTCTCTCCTTATATATATTGCTGGTATCGCTGGAAACCCTTATTTATAAATGTCATGATCTGCTGATCTGGATTTCTGTAGTTTTCCCTCTTAGTTTTCAGTTAAACTTTTATTTATGTCATTCTGTTTTTCCAAGTCATTATTTTAATTTCAGTTTGGTGTTATCTAATTCTTTTCTAGTTTTACTTAAGCACTGTTGTATTTCTTTGTTAATCTCTGTTGCCCCCTTGTGCCACTCTTCTTTCCCTTAGCTCTTCTTTCCCTTAGCTCCCTTCTTGATACTTCTGTCCACACCTGCTCCCAACCCATTGATGACTCCATTCATTGTTCTGTTTGGCATATATAATTCTGCTCTGTAGTTACGTTTTCCTGGATTGTCCTCATTTCCTCTCAAGTCCTGTATTCCCTGGTTAGTTATTTTTGAATTTATGCCTCTGTTGTCACCACTCTAAAAATCAAATCTGCAAGAAACCACCTCAGCCTGCGTCTCTGCATTTGGGTCCTCTGCAAACATCCCTTCCATTGGAAATGAATTAATTAAAATCAACCAAAGTCAGAAAAGGCCAATTAACGTTTACCCTCACTCAACATACACCTTATAAATTTTCATTTTTTGTCAGGTTACATGGATTTAGTACATTTCATTTTCATTTATGTAATAGATTTATACAAGGTGCACACTTATCAAGTGGAGGGGGGTGAATCATTATTATTTGCAATTTTTTAAACCCACCTTTAAAGGAATAGTACACCCAAAACATGATTAGCCTTCATTTTCTACTCACCCCCATGCTGAACAACACTCTGGAGTACTTTTTTGATATCTCAAATGCATCTGGAGATCTGGGAGGCTTCTTGCTGTCTGATGACAATCAAATAATGGAGGTCCATGGCGCCCGAGACAGAGAGGTCCATAAAAGTCCACAAAAAACGTGTCAATATTCCTCCATACTGCTCGTCCAATGTATTCCAAGTGTCCTGAGTGGGTAGCTTCCAGAATTTACTCGAAACGAAGTCATTTAGAATGTTTTTAGAGCATAAACAGTAGTGTATAGGATTTCCTGAAAGCGCGCGCCCGCACGTTCATGACGCTACAGAAGCCGGCAGACCAACCAGATGAAAGTGCGCATTCAGCGTCTGCTCTGCCGATAATCCAAGCGTAGAAGAAGAAATGTGCTGTTTACCTGTGCAAAGAAAGAAACAACGAAAGAAAAATGTCTGAGGACTTCAGTGTTGAGGAAGAGCATGAGTTCTTTGCCGAGCTGCATTCGCACTTTCATCTGGTTTGGTCTGCCGTGCGGGCGCGCGCTTTCAGGAAATCCTATACACTACTGTTTATGCTCTAAACACATTCTAAATGACTTCGTTTCGAGTAAATTATGGACGCTACCCACTCAGGACACCTGGAATACATTGGACGAGCAGTATGGAGGAATATTGACACGTTTTTTGTGGACTTTTATGGACCTTTCTGTCTCGGGCACCATAGACCTCCATTATTTGAATGTCAGCAGACCGCAAGAAGCCTCCCAGATCTCCAGATGCATTTGAGATATCAAAAAAGTACTTCAGAGTGTTGTTCAGCATGGGGGTGAGTAGATAATGAAGGCTAATCATGTTTTGGGTGTACTATTCCTTTAATCTAATGCCTTCAAATAAAATACGGTGAAACTGGTTCATTTTACGTTGAAAAAAATATATATTTTTTATTAGTTTATGAAATGAATCATTTTATGTTAAAATAGATACAATGCAATACAACTTCATTTAGATAGCCATTTACAAAAGTGCTAACAACGCTGCTCTGCACTGATGAAATTACTGATAAAACACAAATCTAGCTGTTTAAGCAAGCACAAAATCAAATCAAAATAAATGCAAAATCAAACATTGCCAATGATGACTAGATGATAAAACAATGAAAGACAACATGTCAAACTGATTTAAATGTCAAGGAGAATTGGATTTTTAAGAGAAGATTTAAAAACAGGAACCAAACTGGTCTGTGTTATTTACAAAGGAAGCTAATTCTTGCTGCAATAGTATCTCTGTTATTATTAAAATTTTGTATTAATATATAACAGCATTAAATACCTTGATATGTATCATCACTTAGTTTTTTTAGTTTGTTTAACTGTCACATTCACTAAATAACCTGCGGAAATGGGTTTTTAAATTTGACTTAAAAGTACTCAGGTTTTTAGAACTTCTGGAAGTTTGCTCCAGATAAGAGGAGCATAGGAACAAAATAATGCTTCTGTTTGGTTCTAGTTCTGGATGGGCAGAGTAGGCTTGATCTAGAAGACCTGAGTGGTCTGGGACAATGATACACCGACGACAAATCTTCTGTGTATTGAGATGCTCATCCATTCAGCATTTATAGACTGACAGAAGTATTTTAAGGGCTATTCTCTGAGCTACAGCGAGCCAGTAGGAAGACTTCATAACCAGGCTGATATGTTCTACTTTCTTAGTTTCAGTGAGAACACGGGGAGCAGTGTTTTGGATCAGCTGCAGCTGTCTGATGGAGGTTTTAGGCAAAGCTATGAAGACGTGTTGGCAGTAATCAATTCTACTACAGACATATTTATCTTTTTTTTTCTAGATCTTGCCTAGGCAAGGCAAGGAAAATGTATTTGTATAGCACAATTCAGTACAAAGACAATGCAAAGTGCTTTACATGATTAAAATACAAGGAGATAAAACAGAATCAAAGCAAGTAGGAAAAAAATAAAAAAAAATAAAGTAAAAAATGCAGAAACAAAAAAGAATATCAAAAACAGTTGGACTAAAGAAAATATGTTTTAGTTGAACTGTTTAACTAGAACGGTAGAAGGCAATCCTAAACAAATGTGTTTTTAGTCTTGATTTAAAGGAACTCAGGCTTTCCGCACTTTTACAGTCTTCTGGAAGTTTGTTCCAGATAAGTGGAGCATAGGAACTAAATGCTGCTTCTCCATGTTTAGTTCTGGTTCTAGGTACGCAGAGCAGGCTGGAGCCAGAAGACCTGAGTGGTCTGGAGGGTTGAAACACTGATAGCAAGTCTGTGATGTATTGCCTAGACATTAGTCCTTTATTTCTGGAAATGTTCCTTGGCTGACAAAAGGCAAACTTAGTAATTACCTTTATTTGACTCTGAAGGATCATGTCTGGCTCCTTCATGACACCAGGATTTTGGCCATAATCCCTGGTTTTTGCTGTAGCTACTAGCGGAAGCTGTGGTCTGACTTTGGATCTTCCTCGTTTGGTCCTCAAATTATTACTTCAGTTTTGTTTTTTAATAATTTGGAAGAAATTATGCAACATCCACTTATCGATCTATTCTAAGCATCAAGTAGGTCATAAATCCCAATCCCTTATCCTCCGCCCCCCCGAGGTCCATATTTCAGGTGTATCCCAGCTAAATCACACTGTACTTAGATTAATGGCTGATGGAACAGTCATATGTAATACTAAAAAGGTCTAGTTAGAGATGCTAGACTTGGACTTAGACAACTTTTATTGTCATTTTGTATACACAGAGTGTATACAAACAAAGTTTAGTTTTTTACAGCTTTCTGATAGTAAATGAGCAGCAGCTTAGCGGTGAAATGAACATTTCCTCTTCATTAAGGGCAGCAGTGATCAAATGTAAACAATGTGGGAGAAAAACACTGGGTGCAAAACTCATTGATATGGAAGTTCAGAGCACTTCAAGACAAATATACTGTATATGGTGCAAATATGCAGTAGAAAAACATTTTTTTTTTAGTTGAGTTCTTTTTGGTTTGGTGTTATCAGTGTAATGCAGAGTCTGTGACCTGATTTAGAGTTATATTTTTAACCGTTTAGTAGTCTGATTGTAGTGGAGAAACAGCTCTTGCAAATTCTGCTGGACCTGCATTGAATGCTGTGAAGCCTCTTCCCAGAGGGCAGCAGGGAGAACAGTCCATGGGATGAAATATCTTCAATGGAGAGAAGAGGAGCCCCAATGATCCTCTCCGCTGTTCTCACCACTCTTCTCACCTTCTTCCAGTCTGATGCGCTGCAGCCTCCACACCACACAGTGAGACAGCTGGTCAGAACGCTCTCTATGGTGCTTCTGTAGAAGGTGGGGAGGATGGGTAGCGACAGGTGGGCTCTCCTTATCCTCCGCTTGAAGTAAAAGCGCTTCTGTGCCCTTTTGACCAGTGAGGTGGTGTTTATAGTCCAGGTGAGGGTGTCTGTGATGTTCACACCCTGGAATTTGGTGCTGCTGACCACCTCTACAGCTGAGCTGTTGATGACCAGTGGAGCGTGCTTAGGCTGGTTCTTCCCGAAGTCGACGAGGATCTCGTTCGTTTTCTCCAAGCTCAGGATCAGGCTGTTATCTCTGCACAAACCAATTGCTCCACCTCCTCTCTGAAGTCCTGGTCGTTGTCATCACTGAGGAGGCCCACCACCGTGGTGTCGTCTGCAAACTTCACAATGTGATTGGTGGTGAACCTGGGGAGTCATGTGTCATCAGAGTGAAGAGGACGCAGTCCCAGGGGGGGAGCCTGTGCTTAGGGTGATGACATCGGAGGTGT